CCGGACACGAAAAAAGACAAAAAAAGGAAAAAAAAAAAAAAATTTAATGAGTTCAATATTTTTCATAAAAGTAATGCATAATCATGGAAGGATATTTGGGAGACATGGACACATGTCCCTTAAACACAGCGCCCTGCTGTGGTCCCCGGGCAACTGCATGCCTACCTGGGTGTGGGGGCTCTTGTGCCCCCAAGGCCTGCTTGGCCCGGGTAGCTTTGCTGGCTGCCCCTGGCCGGGATCAGTGTGCCCATCCATGCGTTCTTCCGTCCGGCCTTGCCAGCCCTGTGCTGCCCTGGGCAGTGCTGGGGTGGGGCTAAAGCAAGAGGGGCCCTGAGCTGCTCCTGGGCTTCCCGCCGGCCTTAGCATCACCTTCTGGTCTCCTCAGGGGCCTCTACTGAACAGTCGGGGTCCTCCAGTGACTGATTTTTGGATAAGTGAGGTGTTAATGAACTTTGATTTCGAAGACTGGGAAAGGGGGGTGTGGGAGGTGCCCCATCGTCCTCAGACCACTGTCAGTGCCCGCCTGGTCACGGGCCGGATGGGACACCCTATATTTTGCTTTTGCAGAAGGGCCCAGCTGCCACTACTGACTGCCTTTGATTGCTGTGGTGATGCTCTTCCTGTGACAGTGAATTGAATGACAGAATTCTAGGTTGTTGGAGGCTCTTCATGCAGACTTGAAGTGGATGGCTGAGTTCCAAGGGGGGTGCCAGTGTCATCGCCATGTCCTCGGCCCACGGACCATCCCTGGTCCAGCTTCCCATTTGTGCTGCCTCCTTTCCAGCACGTTTCCCAGCAGCGTCACCAGCAGCAGAGACTGGCTGGCACTGCTCTGGCCGGTGACCGCTGAGTGCCCGTGTCCCCTCCTTGCAGGTCTGGCTGTGGGTCTGGGCTTCGGGGCACTGGCCGAGGTCGCCAAGAAGAGCCTCCGCCCTGAGGACCCCACAGGTGAGCGGGGCCCTGCAGTGGGAGGGGCTGGGGAGGCCCTGGGAGGGCTGAGCCTGTCGCCCCTGGCCCCACCTGTGCTTTGGGGGGTGTCAGCCTCATGTCCTTCCTCCAGGGACCCCCTTCCCATCGTGTTCCATGTAAATGGGGCCCCTGGGCTTGCGAGGCTGTTTGTAAGACACTGACCCACTTCAGAGGGTTTGAGGCTTGGAAGCTGCTCCCCCTTCCTGCCCCATGTGGTCGCTCAGCTGCTCCTGCTGCCGCACCCCGCACCCCTGTGCCCTGATCAGGTGCCCAGGGCTCCCATTTGTTTGGGATGAGGGACGTGGGCAGCTGGGGCAGGAGAGGTGTGTGCTGCTGGGACAGACCCCACGGGGACTCCGTGACTGGGGAGGCGGTGACCTCTCCTGGGCCTGTCTTTGAGGTAACATCACCATCCCTCTGTCCTCTGCCACCCAGGGTCAGGCCAGGGTCATGTCAGAATATCCATCCCGCCTAGTCCGGGTGGCTGCTGGGCCCAGGCCCTCTGTGGAGAATGTTCTGCGGACTGGCCCCACGGAAACTTTGGGGTGTCCATGGTGCTGTGATGATGGGGGTCAGCAGCCGAGGCTCCCTCTGCCCCCACCGGGGAGGGTGCCAGGTGGGGAGGAGGTGGGTGTGGAGTCTGTCCAGAGGGGCATCCCCTTCTGCGGGGCCCGGGTCCCATGAGAGCAGCACTGAGACCATCTGCTTGGTGAGGGCCAAGATGGACTTGGACCTCGGGACTGGGTCCCCCCTGCCCCCGGCCCATTCAGGGAATGTCAGCTCTTTCTGGCATCTTGCATCTCCACACCGTCCATGGGGACCCCAGTGACACCGCACTGTCCAGCTGCACTGCAGCCCCCACAGCACTGGCTGCAGGCTGCCTGCATGGCCCATCTTTGCCCACAAGCCTCTCTGTCCTGGAGAGAGGGCACCAGCCCATCCCCACGGGCCCCTGAGCCCTGGGGACACAGGGCATCACATATGTCCTTGGAAGGGGCCAGAGGAGCGAGAGGATTTAGCAGGGGTATTTTTAGTGCTGGTGCTGAGGCACTGTGGGAGTGGAGCCTGGGTTTCTCTGGAAAGAGCGGCCAGCCTTCCCCGGGCACACTCCCCTGCTGCCCTCCCACAGCTCGCTGCTCTTCGTCCCACCTCGTCCAAGCAGAGAGGAGGCCAGATGGGCTTCAAGGTTACAGCTGGTGTCCTTTGTCAGGGACAGTGGTGGCCCAAGGCTGGGGGTCAAGGGGTCCAAGGACCAGTAGCCCTGAGAGTAGGACCTGGGGCGTAAGCCAGGGCAGGACGGCCCTGGACAGACCCAAGCTGTGCTCCAGCTCCCTGCCAGGCCCTGGCACCCCTTGGCCAGGAAGACACTGACTGGCCTAGCTGAGCTCTGCCCCTGGAGAGCCTCTCTGGAGTTGGGGGCATGCCACCTCTTCTGTTCCCTTGCTGAGGACCCGGCTCAGTTCTGCCCGAGCACATAGTGCCAGGCCGTAGTGCTGTGAGCTGTGGCACGTGCCAGGCACTGTGGGGCAGAGGAGGAAGCCACACTGCAGCCTTTGGGGTCTTCTGAGCTAACTAGACTCACAGGACAGAGAGCAGGAAAAGCCCTGGAGGTCACAAGGGCTGAAGGCCCAGCAAAGTGGGGTACTGAGGAGCGCAGACCCCTGCTCAGGCCTCTCCGTACTCTGCACAAGGCAGACTCACGACTGAGGCAGGGCTGAGCTGATAGCTGGGAGCGCGGACTGAAGCCAGTGAAGGGTCTGCCTTCCCATGGCTGCACCGCCGGCTGATGGCAGGACGCAGCCGGCCTCCTGCAGCCTGACCTCCCACCCCAGTGTACTGGCCAGAGGTCACCTGCACCTTGGGGATCACTGTGTGTTTGCCACGGCCAGCTGGTGCACTGAGCTGCGGGGCCTCTGTGGGCAGCGGGGAGAGGCAAGACAGCAGCAGGGCTGTGTGCTGTCCTTGACCCCGAGCTCCCCTCCCTTGCGGATGGGCTCTCACTACAGCTCTCTGCCCCACGTGGCAAATGCACACTGACTCCTGGGTTGCAAAAGACCTTCACCCAATGCACTGGGAGAGGGGTGCAGGGCGAAGACTTGGCAGTCCTCGCCTGGGGCACTGCCGATTGGGTCCCTCCGGGTCCCTTCCTCCCCATGCTGCCCCATCTCCAGCTGATCATGCCCTTGCATGCAGCCCTCACCCCCCAATCCCCATGGGCGTGATATGAGGAAGAGGCCCCGTGTGTGTGTTTGACCTGGATGTGTGCGTCAGGGGAGTGCTGGTGCAGGGCCTGGGGAGCACCGTGGAGGTGGATGTGGGAGGTGGGCTTGGATGCCCAGGAGGACACAGGCATTGCCTGAGCCCCCTTGGTCAGGCTTGGGGCAGGCTTTACCCGTGGCACTCCCAGAGCCCTGGAGCGGCCGTGCTGACCCTGCTGGCACCCTCAGGAAAGAAGGCCGTGCTGGACTCCAGCCCCTTCCTGTCGGAGGCGAACGCGGAGCGCATCGTGAGCACGCTGTGCAAGGTGCGTGGCGCGGCGCTCAAGCTGGGCCAGATGCTGAGCATCCAGGGTGAGTGTCGCCGGCGGGCTGCCTCTGCCCTGGGCGAGGGACTGGCAACTGCAAGGGGCAGGGGTGCAGGGCACTGTGCCTGGACTCAGTGGACGCTGGTGGGCAGGATGTGGGGGGCAGGGAGGGGTGTTTTCTGGCGACCAACTCCTGCTGCTTGCATGCGTCCTCGGAGACTGGGCTGTGCGGGCATTTACAAAAAGCATCTGAGACAGGAGCCCCCAGGCATTCTTGCCTTTTTCTGGGTGTTTTGAAATACCCAGAAGTTGTGCCGACAGCTGGTGAGAGTCCCGCTGCTCTGCCATGTTGGTTATAGGGGTGTGGGGGGTTCACAGGCCTGCCATGAGTGACGTTGGGGACCCGGCATTTGTGACCCCCAGGAAGGAAGGATGGGGAGATGGCCCCAAGAGCAGGGCCAGTGCTGGAGGGGCCCCAGGCCTCGTGCTGGAGCTCAACAGGGACGAGTGGCCTGCAGCTGGCACTGAGTGGAGCCTTGGGAGCAAGCTCACCTGCACAGCCACCAGTGGATGTGCCAATGGGCCACAATGGAACCAGGGGCTAACTCAGGGTGGCCATGACATGGGTCGCTGCCTGTGGTCGTGCAGCTCAGCGCGGACTTTCTGGAAGGCCTGCAGGCAGTGCATGTCTGGAATCCTTTGATGCTCAAACTCCGTGACTCCACGTGCAGCACCTTAGGTTAAGGACAGCTGGGAGAAGGGGCGGGCACCGTGCACCGGGAGCTGCCCCACGGGATCATCGCGCTAGGCCGGGCTGCGAGTGCGTGGGGGACTCACGTGCAATACCTTGGGTTCCTTTTGACCTTTTGGTGGATGTTCATGAGAGCGGGTTCCCCGTAGGGCGGCTGCAGGTGTGAACATGTCTAAAAACCCACCTTCCCGGGTCACGGGGGGAGTGCAGAGCTGCCAGCCGGGCCATGTGGCCAAGAGTAACTGCTCACCCATGCGTGTGGGCCGTGTCGCATCCCTGGCTGCAGCGTGCCCAGGCGGGGCACCTCTGTCGCTGCCCTTACTGTGTGCACAGCCCAGGAGCCTGCGTGCAGGTGGGAGAGGCGCTCCCAGGGTGCAAGGAGGCAGCGCAGCTGGGCCTGCTGAGTGGTGTCGGGCCTGTCGCTTGCCGTGAGCCTCGGGTTCCAGCGTGTAGAGGGGCGAACAGCACCTTGGCCTCCCTCCCGGTGCCGGGCTCCAGGAGGGTGCACCATGCACAGGGTGACCGGGTGGCCGCCGTGTCAAGGTAAGCGGCTGCCCTCTGCTGACTTCTCTCGTGCCTTCCAGACGACGCTTTCATCAACCCCCATCTGGCCAAGATCTTTGAGCGGGTGCGGCAGAGCGCCGACTTCATGCCGCTAAAGCAGATGACGGTGAGCCCGGCGGTGGCATGCCTGCCGGCTTCAGTCCCTCGGCCCCCATCGTCAGAGGGGAGTGGTGGCCCTGCGGCAGCGGGCAGACCGGGTACTTCTCAGGGTGTCACAGGTGGCGAGGCTGCACTCACGGCCCCTCCCTGGCCTTTCTCTCCAGAAAACCCTCAACAAGGACCTGGGTCCCAACTGGCGGGACAAGCTGGAGTACTTTGAGGAGCGGCCTTTTGCAGCCGCCTCCATTGGGCAGGTGCACCTGGCCCGCATGAAGGGTGGCCGCGAAGTGGCCATGAAGATCCAGGTACCCCAGACGCACTGCATAGGGCCTCCACACCCCACATCCCCTAGGGCACCCTCTCTGTCAGGGCAGGGCCTGCGTCTCACCTTGTCTTTCTGTCCCCAGCGTCTGGGTGCACTGGGTGCTTGAGAAGCATTTGCTAAATGAATGGCTATGAGGGGTGACAAGGTTGATTTGGAATAGGCAGGGGCAGGGGACAAGTGATGTGTGTCTCTTGGGTGCCCGAGGTGGAGGGAGGGGACCCTGGGTTGGTGGCTATTCCTGGTAATGGGGGATATAGGTGGTGGGAGTAGAAGGTGGAGAACACGGTCATGATGGGCCCGGGGCCGGGTGGCATTTTCGGGTCTTAGCTCTGGTCTGTCTGAGGTGTGATGTGGGGCTGGCTGACCCCTTCCTGCCCCGCAGTACCCCGGCGTGGCCCAGAGCATCAACAGTGACGTCACCAACCTCATGGCCGTGCTGAACATGAGCAATATGCTCCCAGAAGGTCTGAGCAAGGGCACGAGTGGGTGGCAGGTGCTTGGGATGGGCTCTGGGGACCCACCCTGACGCCCCTCCCCACCCAGGCCTGTTCCCTGAGCACCTGATCGACGTGCTGCGACGGGAGCTGGCCCTCGAGTGCGACTACCAGAGGGAGGCCACCTGCGCCAGGAAGTTCAGGTGCGGCTCCCTGCGGGGCAGGCCCTCAGCCCCGAGTGCGGACGGCGTCCCCCAAAGGAGCAGGACCCTCCTGGTGGGCTGTCCCAGGGGACGGGGTGTGGAGGGGCTGTGACCAGCTGTGACCTCCCCCCCAGGGAGCTGCTGAAGGACCACCCCTTCTTCTACGTGCCTGAGATCGTGGACGAGCTCTGCAGCCCCCACGTGCTGACCACGGAGCTGGTGTCCGGCTTCCCCCTGGACCAGGCTGAGGGGCTGAGCCAGGAGATTCGGAACGAGGTATGTCTGGGTGGCAGACAGGGTGGGGTGTCCCTGCTGTGCCGCCTGTTGCTGGTGACCTGTGAGCTGTGAATGGTATGAACGTGGTCTTAGAGCCCCAAGGCACTTGCTATGGAAGCAGGGCCAGGGGACTTAAGGGGAAAGGAGGGCAACTGCCACCTTCCCCAACCCAGGCGGTACATGGGACTCAGCCACCACCTGGGCAGAAGTTGGGGTGGTGCTGCCTGACGCAGGACCCCCTCCTGTCCCCAGATCTGCTACAACATCCTGGTTCTGTGCCTGAGGGAGCTGTTCGAGTTTCACTTCATGCAGACAGACCCCAACTGGTCCAACTTCTTCTATGACCCCCAGCTGCACAAGGTGAGCCCTGTGCGGGACACGTGAGCCCCTGGCTGCCCCTTCCCCAGGAAAGTCAGCAGAGTAGGCGGCTCTGGGATGCGGAGATCTTAGCTTGACCTTGAAGAGATCCCCTCTATGGCATCCGCCCTCCCCTGTCCCTTGCCCTGACACAAGAGCCAACCTTCCCCCGGTGTCTCCATCCCCAGGTGGCTCTTCTGGACTTTGGGGCAACACGGGAATATGACAGGTCCTTCACTGACCTCTACATTCAGGTAAGGCCAGGAGAGAGGCCCTGGCCTTGGCCCCCATTTTTCTAAGGCTGGGTGGGACAGGAAGCTGGGGGACTTGGAGGGTAGGGGAGTAACTGGGCCCCTGCCCCTAGGTCTGCTGACAGTGGGCAGGCCACGGCCCAGCTGGACTCTCAGCCCTGGCTGTGGCCTCCAGGCCTGGGGTCTGGAAAACAGAAGGGTAAAAGTGGGGTAGGCAGGTAGGTGGTTGGCGTTTGGCTCCCTGGACCCTCAGCTTTTCTTTCTGTGCTTCTGCCCAGATCATCAGGGCTGCTGCTGACAGGGACAGGGAGGCTGTGCGCAAGAAATCCATAGAGATGAAGTTCCTCACTGGCTACGAGGTTAAGGTGAGCGTCTCCCAAGGGCCCCACGGACTCTGGTGCTCCACAAGGCCCTGCTGGGGAGTGGGGATGGTGCGGCTGCCGGGTGGGCTGGGGAGCATGGGCATGGGCCGCTTTTTCCTTTGAAATCTTAAGTGGAACCTCAGTATATAAATGGATAAAAGCACAGGGAACAGCTGCCCCTGAGGGGTCCCCATAGAGCCCTGGGCCTCCTTGGGTACAGTCTGGAAGCCGGGCCCAGCCCCACCCTGCCCAGCGCCTCTGTGCATGAGACTGTCAGAGGGCAGGGCTCGGGGGCAGGTGAGCTGGGGGACTTGGGGGACTTGCTGTGAAGCTCCCTCTTGCCCACTTAGATGAGTGTCCATGGGCTTGTCCGAGCGGGAGGGCAGATGGGGTGTAAGCTTCCCTGGGCAGAGGGCAAGGATCAGAGAGCAGCAGCTCAGGCTGTTCTTTTTGGCAAGAACAGGATTTTATAAAAACATCACAAGTTTGAGTGCCTGTAGGCAGGGCTCACACTGGACTCTGCCCCAGGCCCCACCACTCCCTTTTGTCCCACATCCGGCCCAGGTCACACACTGATGTCATTTTCCTGGCCCCTATGGGACCAGTTTATGGCCCTGCTACGGTTACTTAAAAACAAAGGACTCACCTGCCTTACACTGTCCTTAACTTCTAACGGGAACTGCAGGGCCGCATGGGGCTGAGCCCTGTCGCTATTTGTCCCTCCTCCTCCCCCAGGCCATGGAAGACGCGCACTTGGACGCCATCCTCATCCTGGGGGAGGCCTTCGCCTCGGACGAGCCCTTTGACTTTGGCACCCAGAGCACCACCGAGAAGATCCACAACCTGATCCCCGTCATGCTGAAGCACCGCCTCATCCCCCCACCCGAGGAGACCTACTCCCTGCACAGGAAGATGGGGGGCTCCTTCCTCATCTGCTCCAAGCTGAAGGCCCGCTTCCCCTGCAAAGCCATGTTCGAGGAGGCCTACAGCAGCTACCGCAGCAGGCAGGCCCCGCAGTAGGCTGGCCCCGCAGCCTGTGCGTCACACGGTTTTACTGCTACCTGGTGGCGGGGCCAGAGGCACGACAATGGAAACGACTGGTGAGATCTGCCCGTTCCTCGTTCCCCCTCGGAAGCAACTCTAGATCGAGGCCATTTCATTCTCTCCTCCTGTTCCCTAACGGGAGAATGTTTAGCAGAAAGAGTCCTCCTTTCAAGTCCCGCCACCACAACAAAAACCAAAAACACAAAAGAGAAGGCTTTTTGGGTTCGGTTGTTAACTGTGGAGCATCAGGTCCGTGTGTGCGTTTCTAGAACAAGATCTGTGTTTTCCGCCTGCGGTTTGGAGCCAGGAGAAGTGCCACTGTGAACAGTGCCAGCGAGCACTACCTGACCACGGGCAGCCTGCCTGCTCCGGCTGTTCTTACACCTTCTGACAACTGAATGTCTGCAGAGGACTGAGGCCTGTCAGGGACGGCCAGCGAGCCCAGCACAGCTCACCTCTGCCGGGCATCTGTCAGGGGAGAGGCACGGGGTCACTGCTTAAACCTGAAGGGTCAGCACAGGCTCTGCGAATTTTTGTATGTATGTCTTGTAATGATCTAAGTTACTTGTTTCAATTCAATTAAAAAAAGTGCTTGTGAAAAGTGCTTTGGTGATTGATTGTACCATTGTGTCCTTTAAGAACTGTGAGAACGACGGTGGCCCACCCTTTCTAGCATTGTGGTGATGGCATCTCTCAGTAAAGGGTCCTCCGATCCGATGGTGACCGCAGAGACCCGCTAGCACGGTTTGCACACCCATTCCCAGCGTGAGGCCCTCGGTACCTGAAATGGAAGGCTCGGCCATGTTCATTGTAAAGGAGAGGGGCAGGGGTCAGAGGATGGGAAGATGCTGTGGTGTCGCTGTTCCCGCCACGCTAATGCAACTGTCCATGCTGACACTGGCAACTGTGGGAAGATGGCGACACCAGCCAGCAGGAGCAGCACTGGGCCTGCATCTCAGGGAAACACACTGTAGAGAGCAGCCGCCATGGAGGAACACTGCCTGAAAGTGGCTCTTCCTGGGGCTAACCCGGTTCACGCTGAAGGACATGGCGTGAGAACACGGTTTCCCAGGGCTGTATCTTTAAATCCCTAACATCTAGTGAAGGGCTGGACTTGTGGTAGCACAGACAGAAAGAGTATTTGTTACTGTAGGCTTTGATGGTCAATAATGACACAACACTGAGCTGCAGGCTAGACGCTGTTCTCAGCACTTCACATGTAACTTCACATGTAACTATGACACAGGAGAACACTGACGCTCAGGGTTTAAGTGGTGGAGCCGGGAGATTTGGAACAAGGCTAGTTAGTGTGGTCTCACTGTCGACACTAACTAGAGTAAACCAGGGGCTGGCAAACTACAGTCCATGGGCCAAATGTGGCCCAGTGAGTTTTTTAAAGTAAAGTTTTATTGGAACACAACCACTCACACTTATTTACATGTTGTCTAAGGCCGTTTTTGCACTGTAACAGCAGAGCTGAGTAGCTGTAACAGAGACTATATACATAGCCTGCAAAGCCAAAAATATTAGGCAGCCCTTTACAGAAAAAGATTACCAAGCCCTGTTCTAAACCACTGCATAGCTGCTGCCTCTAAAGCACGGCACACGTTATGAGGAATCAACCAACAGTCAAAAGTGTCAATTACGTGGGAAATGCTAACAGGGAGGGTCCTCAGAGTAACTGTTTAGCTGCAGCCAGTTTAGCATTTTCTTTAAGACCACCCCCAACCTTTCCTGTGTGTCCTTAGATGTACGATTCCCACTCAGCAAAAGCAGTTTAACACTAACGCTTGTTTGAAGTGGCTACTGATCGACTGCAATAAGCAGGCATAAAACCAAACTGCTCCACATTTACACTGTCAAGGCTGCTCGCGAAACCCTGTGCAGGCAGAGCTTGCTCTTGTAGACCAGACAGTAAGAGGGAAGGTTTGAAAAGAGGGGAGTGGAAAGCTTCAAGAGAATTTACCATTAATCTTACCTGAGCTAATGAAGAAACTAAGAAAGTCTCAGGCTAAACCACAGGGGCCTACGAATGCCTTGTAGTGCAAGGAGGAAGCGTGGACGAGGAGGGATGAGCCGAAAGCAGGATCAGAGAAAACATCGAGAGTCATCGCCTTTTCTCCACTGCTCACTTTTTAAATGGGGAGGGGGGGGGGGGCGGACGACAAAATACTCAGTTCTAACAGTCCCCTGTTTTATTGCAGTACATCAAAGTCTGGTTAATATTAAGTGATACCAACATAAAATATTGGTGAGGAACCTTTGTTACATTTTTTACTATCCCATCTTAAATATTTCTGTGCAAAAGAATCCACATCATTGTTTGGTAGCAGAGAATCTCATAAAGCTCCCTAAGACATTGAGGGCATAAAACCAAACAATAAAATAAGGAGTGATAAAAGCCAAAGCAATAGTTTTTCCCCTTCCATACACACACATTTGTCAGCATTATATTCTAAACAAAAAATGATTACACCTAGACCATGCAAAACTGTACAATAATATTACAATGAGAAAAAAACCCTAAAAAATTTATAAAATAAATGATATCACACTATCAAATAAAAAGGCAGGTCATTTTGTCTTCAGGGGATTTCAAGGTGGATGTGGGTGAGGCGGTGTCCCCATGACTGCCACGGTGTCTTGCGCATAGCGGCTGTCCCTGGCCTGCTGGTTGAGGACGGGAGGCCGCACTCCCGCCGAGGCAAGGCTCTCCTTCTCCAGCACGCTCCACAGAGAACTCTGGACTTGAGCAAGGATTAAAGTCATAACAAGGAAAGACGTTTTCAAAGGGCCTCAATGAAATATCATGCAGCTCTTCTAAATCAGGGGCTGGGTCGGGAAGAGGTGGGGAAGCAAGTGCCCAACTAGTTCCCGTTGTGCCCGGTGCACGTGGCTACAGCAAAGTCTGGCCCACAGCAGGAGCGTTGGGCTGCTCCAGGTGCCCCTCTGGTCAGCAAGGGGACGTTGCGCCTTAGCCAGGCCCACTTAGCTAGAACTAGTTCCCGTTGTGCCCGGTGCACGTGGCTACAGCAAAGTCTGGCCCACAGCAGGAGCGTCGGGCTGCTCCAGGTGCCCCTCTGGTCAGCAAGGGGACGTTGCGCCTTAGCCAGGCCCACTTAGCTAGGAGACTGCGGGGTTTGTGATCACTGCCTAAGGCCAGCAATCAGTCCTACTACATCGGGTGAGTTAGGATGGCCACCTGCCCTGCTCTGGCTTTTCTTTAATGATACCTGAGATCCAAATAAATGCCACTGGTCTTTCTCAGAAATAGATGTGGTCACTAAGTAACAAAATGACGTGATTCTAACCATTGGATAGGAGATAGAGACTGAAAGGCAGCCAGGGAATGACAGACTGTTGCTGTAAACGTAACAGGAATTTCAGATTCTCCTCTGGAGCCTAGGTACAAGCACTGATTGGAAAACCAGACAGATGGGCCCTTCCTAGTCCTATCTCCTAGCCACAAAGCTGTGCTCCCTGGGAAAGAACGTAGCCCACTAAGTGTAGTGTGCGTGTCTGTCTATGTGTAAATATGTATATGAATATATATTTTAACCACTAAAGAAGTAAAATCTGCTTTAGCAATCATTCAACAAGGAAGAAGGCTTTTGTTTTTGGCAAAAAGAAAAAAATACATATATATAATTTTATGTACCCAAAGCACATGACAAGATCAGTCAGAATTCAAGAGGAGACGACAAATTGGCTGGACATACCACCAAATACCAACACATACAGACCATGCCAGGCATGCCTCTGAATGTACTTTTCCTTTCTATTGAGGAGAGAAATAAGTCCTGCACAAAAACAAAGGATGACTTCGGACAGGGATAAAACACCTTTTCTGTGGCCTTCGTTGCTGACCCTTTGCATGATCATCATGTTTTGCTGCCCTGGAACTTAGTCCTCGTCTTTTCAAATCACTCTCCTCGGGAACTTCTGAAGGTTGGGATAAGCTCAGGAGGACGATCATTATCTTGTGAAAATCTCCCCCAAAACTATTACCCCTGGCAGTGTTTCTCTCCCAAAGTTCTCTTTTAGAATCTAAATATATTTGGGGCTGCTCTGTACGACTGCTGACACTACTTACGATTGCAGTGGCAAAACCAGAAAGTGCTGTGGTGCAATCCACTGGGTTAATACGAACAAGCTGCCAGTCAGCCTGGCAGCCCAGGAGAGCCTTCAGACACTCTCTCTCTCCTGCCCTGTCAGGAGGCTGAAGAGTATGACTCATTGTAGTGGAGCCTAGAGTTACGTAGGGTTATATTTTGATCCTAAAAGCATCCTTTGAAAAATAAGAACCTATAAGCAACAAAAATTCACAATTAGTTGTCAAAGCCACAAAGCAATGGCTTAGTGGAGAGCCCTGTCAATCTCAGCTCTCTCTGGGAAGAGAAGAAAGAGAGGAAAAGGGAGGGAAAGGAAAGAAGACAGGGAGGGCGAGCAGGACAGGAGGGGAGCAGCCCCCAGCAGTAGCTGGCAAGTCGATTCCCGCTCATGTGAAGTGCCCAGGGTACGGAGCTCCCAGAGTCACAGGGCAACGGCCAAACTCGAGGTCTGACCCTGGATGTTTGGATGTACAGAAGTAATTCTGCATGACTCTTCTTTTCCGAAAGCAAAATGATCCGGGAGATTAGAACCATGCAGTGAATTACACCCTCCAGAATAAAATATAATCAAATCTGAGCCAATACCGAATCCAGAATGTTTCACGTGTTAAAGCTGTCATTTTAAAATTTCCTATTATGACCATCTATGATATAATCCCGCATCAGAATCCTTCCCCCTCACCAGGTCTCAGTGACATCTCCATGAAGTAGTGTCACCCTGGACATGGCCTCAGCTCCCTGCAGCAGCAGAGGGCAGGTGAAGTCCCCGATGTCAGTGCTGACATGACAGGGCTTGGACACTGCAATCCCAGATTAGTAACTGCTGGACAACTTTCTGCATTTTAGCGGAATCTCAAAGAGAGGAGAAAATCTTTTTTCTATTTCTCAGAGAAACTTAGATGAAAAGTAAAAGAGAGGCAGATTCTCTTTACTTCCATGAGATATTTTTATTTTTATCTTTCTCTACTCATGTGCTTAACTGGTGAAATGACTCTGTAGAAATAAGTTCTTCTGGTTCTGTATCTCATTTCCTTATGGCAATTAAAACAGCAGGAATTCAAATGGAAATGTATCTAACAACACAATACAGCAACTGAGGGAGAAATTCAGTCAAAACGGCCATGCTGGGCTAACTTCTTGCCTGTGTACTGGGGTTAATTACATCCGTTTTCCACTGGGTATGGGGAAGAATATTTGGTTAAGGCTGTTCAAGTCCTTGCTTTTGAGGTTTATATTATTTGGTAATGAAAGCCTTTTTGCCCAGGCTTATCTGAGGAAGCTCACACTCACCCTCAACAAAACAAGACTCTTCCCTGGGAAGCCGTCTCCAGCCCCAGGATGGACACCTCACTGTAACTTAGGTAGGGACAGGATTAGCCCAGGGGAAAAAAGCATTTTTCTGAACCTTTTTAATGGACCTTCAGAAGCCACGACACTCCCTGTGTCCTTTCAGATGGAAGGGATCAGAAGGTGACAGAACTGTATTTCTACATTTATCTGCAGAAGATATCAAAATATAATGAAAAATTAGAAGTGTGGTTCGAATTCCACCTCTAGAAAAAGAAATGTCGTGGGTAGAGGTGAGCTTGCCTTTTTATGCTGTTGCTGATGTGGCTGCAAGCAGTAAAACTCTGGTGTCCAGGTTGCACTCCAAACCAACGGAACCGGGGTCTGCAATGGTTTCTAATGCTCCCCAGGTGACTGCAGCCTGTGACCAGACTGAGAACAGGGTCCTACAGGAACTCTGATTTCTCTCACGCCCATTCTATGAATGTCATCTGGAGACTTTTCTACCTTTTACATTACTTAACTGGGAAACAGACAAAACATTTTTTTTTAAATTAAATGATTTCTTTCTTTTATATATGCATCTATCTTTCGTTGAATACAAGACGCTTCTTTGGACTATATACATTCAGTATTTAACTTCTACATTTATGTATTTATTTAAACTCTGTATTGTAGTAAAATATGCATTGTTTTAATTCGTAAGGACTTCCTGGCCACAATCAGGTTGACACTCACAGTGGCTGCTAGGTGACAGCTCAGTGTGCCAGAGACAGACTCTCCCTCCCGATGTGGAGAATCCCATGCGCTACTTTGGGACTAAAATGAGACTCTACTGTGAAAACAAAATCTGTCTAGTCTTATTCTTATCACTTACAACGTGTGATCTGTCTACGTAGGCTACCATTTGGGGGAGGGGTGAAGTATTACTGAAGCAATGCTAGTGTATGGAATGAAATCAATATTCGTCTAAGCTGCTTAATGGAAGTCTGCCTTTGTCGTCACCGTTAGGCGAGGGGCATGGGCCTGCAAGTCACATTGCGAGAACTCTGGAGTCCCTACCCTGCTACTGCTGCCAGCCCCTGGTCACATCCAGGCCCAGGTGGAGGGACGAGTGACAGTGAGGGAAGAAGTGAGTGGAAGGGAGCTGAGCACAAGCCGCCCGCGCGGGGGCCCAGTGCTCTTGCAGCTCACGGGTCCCAGCTCCCGCGGTCGGTGCTCTCCAGAGAGAGGCTCTTGGTCTTTCGGGGTGAAACTGGGCTTGGGGGGCTGCTCAGGTTGGAACTATTGGAAGCTGTGGAATGTCTTGGAGAATCAGAGTCCTGTAAGGCCCAAAGTAAAACATTAATGAGAAGCAGCAGGAGAAAGAGGGAGACAGAAGGGGCTCAGGTTACCCCAGATCCCCTTCAGCCACCCTGACCAAATGACCTGATGTGGCTTCTATATTGCCAGTACATCACCTCTTTTGGGAGCTCAGTGAGAGGCACAGAAGATAAATGCTCAGAGTCCTTTCTGAAGGCCTTTAGAACTGTAGGTATTTCATACAAAGGCCAATAGAAGGGTGAACGGCTCTGGGAAACTGTTGTTTGCAACCCAAGTGACTGGCTGTCTGCCCCCGAGTGAATGGAGACCCCTGCTGCAGCCAGGCCCTCCTGGGTTGGTGGGATTACTTGGCTTTTTGATAATGATGTCTCCAGGCACAGCCGCTCCCATGATCCACTCACCTCTCCATCATAGTCCCTGGCCGGGGCATCGCTTCCTTGGTCCATGCCCCCCGAAGACAAAGAGCCTTCTGATGGGGAGGGCAGAGGCTGCCGCTTTGCACTGTAGCTTCCTCCCGAGAACTCCCTCTTTAACGCGCTGCCATTCTGTGTGGATGACCCTACAGCACACCATCCAGGCAAAACTTTACATATGCGGAAGAGGACGATCCTTCAGAGAGTGTGCAGACTCAGAGGGGACAAGCTACCCTTCTCGGGCCCCACAGTCGTCCTTCCCCTGATGGACAGTAAGTGCAACTGGGGCACCACGGCCCCCAGGCTCAACCCCGAGTCCAGCGATCTTGCATGGTTGTTTCTGTCACAGGCCAGCCCAGGGACTCCTGGTGAGCAGCAGCACTCTCCAGGCTGTGCCAGCCGCCCGAATGCCCTGCTCACTAACGATGTATGGCTTTGAGTCTGTCCCACCTGGGGGCTCACAGCACAGTCCGTGTGTCTCTTTTGTAGCTTTGAAGACTGATTGCATCGTGTTGCAATCATGTGCTGGCCATTCGTTGACCACCTTGGGCTCCAGTCCCTGCTTGCTCTGACCCCTGCCAACCTCTCCCACTCCCTCACTACTACCACGTAGCCATAGTGACCTTCTTTCAGCTAATGGAACATAGCTCACACATGACCCACCTCTAGGGAGGGGATGAGACTTCCCTAATTATTCTTTTTTTTTATCAAAACAATTGATTATATATATTTGTGGGGTACAGAGTTGACTATCAACACTTCTGTACAATATGTGATGATCAAATCAGGATAATTAGCATATTAATTATAAAATGTAACCATTCTTTGTGTCCATTAACCAATTTCTTTCTAAGCCCCCTCCCCCTTTCTCACCTCTAGTAACCACTATTCTGTCTAACATGAATTCATCCCCACCACCACAATTTGTAATCTTATTTGTCTGTCTGTCTCCCAGGTGGCCTGCAAGCTCTAGAAGGCCTCCAGGACTATTTCCTTGACAACCGCACTTGTGCCTAGGAGGCATTACCCAGCAGGGCCTGAGACCCTGAAACCACTCGAGCATGCAGTGAGCATGCTGAGTAGGTGATGAACACACCCCCCATGGGACCTGAATGGCAGGGGGCAGCCAGCTCCCTTGCCATGGAAGCACCTTCCTGGCAGCCTGGGCCACTTACTTGCTGACAGGCCGCTGCTGGCGCTCATGGAGCGACCTGGTTCAGGGCGGGATTTGGTGATAGATGGAATACTGACTGAGCCACTGAATACTGTCCGACTTTCCTGAGGCCGAGGGTTCTAAGAACAAAAGAGAAAGACACATTCTTCAGCAAGAAAAAAACTGATTTTCTGCAGAGATGTTTATTTTCCACTCTAACTATCAAGAAATAAAATTATCATAGGGTTCAGATCCCCACACCGGCCAGCCACCAAAAAATAATAATAATAATAATAAAATAATAATAATAGTAAAATAAAATAATTGTGACCAGAATGATACAAAGTAAGGAACAGCAGATTATATAATCCCTCCTACCCGTAAAAGTAATAAAACCTTAACAGGAAGTAAATCTCACCTCAATCAAGGATTAGTACTCATCCTTATACTTCTTGAAATTCTTCCCAATCAAAAGCATTTTTTTGGTTGTGAAACAGTTAAGTAAAAGTTACATGGTTAGACGTGATAGTGGAGTGTAGAATTACATGGACATTTGCACATTGAAACAAAGCTTTTAATATGTATGAGATTTTCATTTGTCTAGGATAATTCAACCAATGAATAAGTCCATTTGGAAGAAAGTCAATTAAAATCACACTCTTCTCAAGAAGCTGTTTTATCAGTGTGATACCGAATGTGCCATTCGCACGCTCCCAGCCCAGTCACCAGGCATCTCTACTGGCTCACATGCAGTAGCACTGAGTCAGAAATCTGATTGTGGCACAGTCACAACCCAGGTTAAGTTATTTAACTTGGGAACATTAGTTTGAAAAGTCTGCCATCTAATTATTGGATGATCTTGGTGCCCATGGTAGGAAGGTGGGCCGCAGAACACTCTGCAGATCACGCACGCACAGCAGGGCAGCGGGGTGTGTGCAGGCCGAGCCGCCCCAGCACGGCTGAGGACAGAAAGCATGCACCTCCCTGAGGGCCGGCCCTTTGGACCAGAGGAGGCAAGATATCTCAGTGTCCTTACAAATCCTCAGCGAGGCAAACTGTATATGCCATTTTACTAACACCTCTTTTACTCCTCGCATCACTTTCTCTATTTGTTGATATAGTTCCCAGCCTTACGAAAAACATTTTCTGAGGCAAATGGGCTGAATCTCTTTAATTTCTTATCATTTATAAGCAGATTTATACATATTTATTTGGAAAATGTTATCTATTCCTTCTTAATTTTTCTTTGATAACCACCACATGATGGTAATTTTGCTTGCCCACGGTATCTAGTCTTAGCCAACCCTCCTGTCCTCCCTCAGCTGCTCTGAGAAGTTGTGACACAGAGGAAGCTTGGTGGCTGGTGGGCACAGGCTGCGGATGAAACACCTGTGCCCCACAGCTGACTGATGACAGGCCTCAGGCCTGCTAGTTACACTCTGTGCCTCAGTTTCTTCAACTGTATTGTGGGACTAATACCTATCTCATGGGGCTTTCCTGAGGATTATGGTAATTATAGGAGTAAAAAGAAGACACTTGGCCCAGTCCCACTATGTGCCTTTCTTCCCCTGCCCTTGTAATGACTCATATAGCCACCTGCAGTGTCACTTTCTCCCTTCCCTCTAGTCACGTCAAAATAGCAAATCTGCTGCAAGGGGGGTAATCACCAACTTTACATGCCTTAAGCCAGACCATAACTCTACAATGAAAATGCAGTGAAAAAAAATCACATAAAAAGTAGTCAAAAACTCAGTTTTGTGACTTTTCCACAGGATCAATTTAAGTCAAGTCAATTCGTTTACTGAATCAGAGTATTAACAGGCTATTTTCCTTTGAAAAGAGATGACTGGCTTCATATGATGCTATAGGTAGGGTGGTTTCTTTATGCTTTCTACACTGTCAGAAAATCACACAGTGCCATGGGTTGATTGAATTGTGTCCCCCAAAGTCCATATATTAGAAGCTTAATCCCCACTGTTAACTGTCAAGGATGGGAAATCCTATATGGTAATTGAAAGGTGGGGCCTTGAAGAGGTAAACTAGATTGTAGGACCATGACGTACTGAATGGATTAATAATGGTGGTCATGGATGTGGTTTGGAGGACTTTAAAGAGAGTATTAATGAGGGAGTCAGTCTCTCTGCTCTACCATTTTTCTGCCATGTGAGACCCCTGGTCACTGTTGCCACCACCAAGACCTTCAACAGATGTGTTTCCTGCACTGTGGACTTCCCAGCTTCCAAACGTGTAAGCAATAAATTTTGTTTTCTTTATCAATCACCCAGTTCCAGATATTTTATTATAAGCAACAGAAACGGACTAATACACATATAGTCACGGCCACTAGCATATAAAAAAAGTGATCGGAAAATACATTTATATGGTTTTAAATTTTACATTTATTATATTATATGTTTATAGAGAAGCTGTTGTTCTCTAAGTTCTAAGTTCATTAAATTGTTTGCCATTTTCTGACTATAAAGGTAATACACATGAACTGTAGAATATATGGATAATAATGGAACCATAAGAGACCAGAAAACTGTCACCTGTGAACTCACCAGATACTATTAACATTGGTGTATTTCCTACTCATCTTTTCTTCCAACATATTTTTTTAGGGTTGACCATACTATAACATGCTTTTTTCAAAAGCAATAGAGCACAAAGCTAACTAGTGTATTCTAACATGTCACAATTGTCTACGTCATTTTACTGTTTCAAAAACACTAAGTCTTCTTTAATCACTTAGGGTTCAGAAAATATTACTTCTCTGTGACACAGAATACATCAGAGAAATTCATCCATATGCCTGCCACACTGTTTGTGGCATGACTTAGGCTTGTTCCTGACTTAGGTTATTCAGTGTTAACAGAAATCTGTCTTACCTGAATCCTTCACAAGTTTTGGCAAGAGACAAGGCCTAAATGCTTAAACTACCTTTAACATATTTCATTAAACGTCCTCCCATGTGTCCCTTAAACACAGAAAACCAGGGAAACACTCAGTAGGCACATCCCCATCTACACGCACTCCCTTGGGGACCTCAGCTTATTGGGTGACAGTTCAGTTTGTCCTGATTATTAGTAAGTGCATAGTTGGCAACTTTCTAGCCTCATTCCTTTAGTCATCATTTCTTCTGCTAACTGCTATTATGACAACTCTAAACTCTAGCACCTAAAAGTTAGGTGCTGAAAAATATTTGCTGAATAAATGAATGGATTATATCTGCAATTCCAATTTTCTACTTGACGTACTGGGATTAATTCAGTTAACAATGTAATTTATGAACTTCAAATTATGATCCTTCCTGTAGAACATATAATACTCTAATTAATATTGGCTTGATGTTACGTGTGTGTGTCTTAAAGATACAAAGTATATTTTACTTGTATTGTTTGGGCAGAATAACATTTTCTGGGAATCAATGAATAAAATGGTAGCAAATTCTTCAAACAATCTGATTTATATGCTAACAGTTAAAAGAGGACTGTCTCCTTTGCTATAATATGGTATAGGTCAAATAATTCAACATAGAATACAATGAAATGAGCATAAATACTTAAGGCTTTTGAGGTTAAAAGAAATGAGCAATGATGTACTAGTGTGAGTAGGTAAAAAGATTTTTAGTTATAATAAAAGTCTAGAACTGGAACCTCAGTTCCCAGCTGCCATGTAACCGTGAGACCCCAAGGAGAGGTTCCGGCTCTGAATAAGTCTGCAGCACTGAGCACTCCTACACACATCTAAAACACCTGAGAGAAGGTTATGGCAAAACAATTAAAGAAAGGCCACAGCTAGCAATCAGGAAAACAAGCAATAATACCACTTAAAAAATTCCAAATCATACATTTTGAAGAATCCCACATAGTGAAAGCTGGCTGGCTGGCTGGCCCCCAATTCAACCGCTGCCATGTTTGTTCACATACCAAATTTGCAAAGTCCATGTAATTCTCAGCGTGTTATTTGTTTAAAGCAAACACTTTACCTTTTTTCCTCTAAGAAAATAAAAAATTTAAAACTAGCAATTCACACAAAGAGGAGCAACCATAGCTGAAAGACATGAGTGACATGTGCACAGTGCAGCAAACAAAAGCTCAGAGGAGATGCGAGTATCAGTTCCAAGCTGCACATTTTGGTATTGTTTTTTCCTATAAACTTGAAGACACATCAGTGTCCTTTTCTATAAAACAAACCTACCATAGAATAAATGGCAAAAATCAAGCTTATAAAATATATGAGTTGCTTAGTAACACTGAATGTTTAAGTAATATAAGAATGATACAAAGAAAAAGTGTTTGATAAAAAAAAAAAAAAAGGTTAATCATTTCAGTCAGCTAAACAAAACAAACTTCATTATAAAGTAACAAGAAACCTAAGCATCCAGTCCTTTCTAGGTAGAAATACAAGGGTCTTCAAAAAGTTCATGGAAAGATTTGTATTATCTTTAATTCCATTCTTCCATGAATTTTGTGAAGTCCTTGGTATGTTTAAGATTAGGGTAAAGGTCCCACTGATGGCACAGTGCTTCTATATGCAGATGCTAACTTAACCTAAACTTCCATCCTCTTTTATATGAACAGTGCTTGACTGATTAGCTTATATAACATTCCTCTGGAATCTACTCCCTGAAACCCGCTACCAAGCAAACGGAGGCTTATTTTATCATGGTTAATTTTACTTTCTCAAATAAGATATTCAAATGACATTACAATTAAATCTCAACAGCAATGACATTTAAATTATAGAGTAATTTACAATACAAATGAAATATAATATCGCTAATTTTCTTATTGGAAAATTACTACATATACAAAGAAAAAGATTGATGCTACTATTTTTCTAAGCCTGGGGGCATTATGGGAAATGAGTTTGTAAGATACAATCCAAGTATTTTATCATCTGCAAAACTAACTTCAGGAAATGCTCACGTGAAGTTAGTATAAGGCTGTATGACTTGATGAAAATATGGATATTCAGCTTTAAAGGGCACCAGCTCTCCATCCCACTGCAAAGCCACTGGTGACAAAGATACTAAGCTGAAGAGAAGGACTCACAGCAGATGCCATGGCCTTCAGAGTACAGCATGCTTTGTTTTTTTCTCTTCGGTTAACTTTTCTTATCTTGGATCCTGACTGGA